ATTTTGGCATATCTTTCTCTCATCTCCTTCACGGAACCACAGCACAGCTCGATGCATTTTAAGAGTGCTGACTCAGAGGCGTCTCCCGCAACTGCCCGCTGTGAACAGAGACATCATCTGTAAATTATCTCAAAAAAATTTCACTGACGCATCACTGAAAAACTGGAAAAATACCTAAAGACACATTCCAATCTTGTCAGAGGTAGCAGAGGACGGGCAAGAAGGAAGCAGTGGTGTCAGGTGGGACAGAAGTCCCTCTAGCCCAGACCACTGCTGTTCACAGCCCTTCAGGCTCAAACCCCAACTTCCTTCCCTGCCACACAGCAGCTTCTAGGGAAAGAAGGGTGTGGGAAGGTGTCACCTTCCCTAGCAGAGGTATAACACACCCTTCCAACTACTCCAGTCTATTTTTATCTTCCCCTGGCCTAGTGAAAAGTCTCAAAGCCAATGCTATTCCCAACTACCTGTTTCTGGTTATTTATCCGAAAATACCAAGTGAGAGACTAAACGTTTATAGCACCTTTCATTACCCTAGAATTTATTAAAAAATGCCTTAGGGTCTCAGGACTGGGGACAAACTGCTGTGCCAAGGGCAAAGTAGAAGACTTTACGTTCTACACATAGTTGCGCAAAGTTCACTGGGCCTGAAGGATTCGAACTGAAAGCTATGACCAGCTCCAACAGTAATGAAATCTTACCAGGTAACATTTTAGTTAAAGCCCACGCTTCAGGTGATACACATATTTTCTGTGATACATGATGACACACTTACATTTTGACATACTGAAAGCATTTTCAGTTGTAAACAACTTTTATATAGGTAAACCTTTTAGAGCTGTAACATGTAAGGCTGCATATGCAGATGAAGAAATTAATGCTCACAAGTATCGCAGCTCCATAGAGCAAGAAAGTTGGCCAGGTTTGGAAAGAAACAAAAAATAAATAAATGGGGGTCATTTTAAATAAAAGCCAGTTATTTTAATAAAAGCAGACTAGAGCTGCTGCTTCCTCCCCGCTTTTTAGTAATGATGCCATCGACATGGCCCCACTTTGGAAATACTTAGAATACAGCTTCTGCTCCCTTTCTGGGGTTTTTAAGTCAGGAAAGATTTGATACTTTTGGGACCTGTTGCTCAAAGCCTAGAACATTTCCACTTTGAGATAAAGAAAACCATGAAACATTTATCTCAAGTTTTATCCCCAAGATAAACAACATCACCGTCAAATGAACATCGATTCAATGCCAAGAAAATCTCCTTTGCAGAATAAATGAACTCTATCCTCACCACAGAAAGCATCTGAGTTACATCCAAGCCATATTCCCTTTGGCAACTTAGTTTACACCCACACCTACTACAGGCAGCTTCACAGAGAATGCAGGGCCCAGAGAGCCGCTCACAGCCTCCTCCTCCTACAGGACTTTACACAAATTCATGATCCTTCTGAGGCTGCATCTTCACTCGAGCAGCACAGTAAAACCTCAGTCATTTCAAACTGCATCAGAATTCCACAGGCTGAAGCTGAGCTTATTTTGGCCTGGAGCTTATTTTTACATCATTAGTAAACAAGCTAAGAACCAATAAGATAAGATAAGCTGAGCTATTTCAGGAAAATAAATGGCTTAAAGGATTTACTGGAATCTACTGTATCCTAATATGCAAAGACGATTATGGAGTCACTACAGCCCTCAGCCCTCGGCTCTCACTGTCCACTAGGTTAGGTGATCATATAAACTCAGAGTAGTAAAAGCAGATGAATTAGGTTTTTTAGCAATGAAGACTCTTCTACCTCCTCCCATCCCACTTTGGTCAGATTTTTACTGCATCTTCCCTTTTTAATCAACCTACATGGAGCGGGGGGGTCCTATAATACATCGAGAACCACAGGCAACACAATATTTTAAGTTACACACAGGAAAGTATCGTACAGACTGCTCCAGATGTCCTACAGTGAACAGTCATACAGACCGCAAAGGTAATGTGCCACTTTTAACACTCAAATGGCAGTTCTCATGTGCTGTCTACACCCTCCAAAAGGCAACTCATCAGTTAACTCCTGAGCATACCTTAAGAATAGGTAGGTTTTCCTGGTTAGCCTGAAACACTGCCCTGTTGCAAAGACCTGCAATTCTGGACAGAGCAAGCCAGGTAGCTGAAGTCTTGTCAAAAGAGACACCTGATGGAGGCAAGAAAACACAACAGGAAAATAATGCATTAACCTCTAATGCTGTGTTCTCAGTTCTCCTATTAAAGTCCCATAGAAATCTGCAGTGACACATCTCATTTCCCAATTAATGAAACCAATCATGTTTTAGGAATTCTTCAATCACGTCTGTAGGGCAATTTAAAGTTTCTACTGACATGCCAAAAAGAAAAAAAAAAAAAAAAAAAAAAAAAAAATCCCATACCCTCAACTCATTACTAAATGATTAAAAACAAAAAAGAAAAAGAAAAACTGTCATGAGCTTAAAAAAAAAATTTCATGTGATTTCTTAAAAGCAGCAAGCGAAGTGAGCAGGTGGCTGAGGTGTGTGACAGCCCTGGCCTTACCACTCTGATTCTCTGTCGTATCAGCTTCATGGATTTGATTGTCAAACCACATGTGGGCCACTGTCATCCGGTTCTGAGTCAGAGTTCCAGTTTTATCCGAGCAGATGGTGGATGTGGACCCCAAGGTCTCCACAGCTTCTAAGTTCTTCACTAAGCAGTTCTTCCTCGCCATGCGTTTGGCAGTAAGCGTCAGACAGACCTAAAAAATAGTAGGAAAATTATTACTTCATTCGACCAGGTTAGAATTCTACACAAATTCTTCCTACACCCTAATGTGGAAGAAGTTTGTCTAAAATTAAATCTCCCCAACCTTCTTCTGAAGTCTGAAGAAATAATAAGGGGAAACCATACATGAGGCTTCTCCTTCCTTCCAGAAAAGCAATCCATTAAGAAAAATAACAGGATCCTACCACAATCTATCCCCCTACTGGATCCCAAGTTCTTCTCCTTTCTCCACGGTACTGTCTGGACCACAGGATAATTTAAAAGCAAAATGTATGCTTTGAGGCTATTATCTTACATATAAACACATGCTGAGGTTTTCTTACTGTCAAAACTCACATGTGATGTGGCTCTGAATAAAAACTGTATTAAACATGCAGAATAAAATATAAGGCGGTGATCCCTCAGAAGAGGATGGCAGACAAGTGTAACAATCATGCAAGCTGGTCTGAGTCAGGGTGACCATCACCTGCCTCTTACCGTGACAGTGGCCAGCAAACCTTCCGGCACATTGGCTACGATGATACCGATGAGGAAGATGACAGCCTCAAGCCAGGTGTACTCAAGGATGAGAGAAAGGATGAAGAAAGACACACCCAGGAACACAGCCACACCCGTGATGATGTGGATAAAATGTTCAATTTCTGCAGCAATGGGGGTCTGGCCTCCTTCAAGCCCAGAGGCAAGTGTGGCAATTCTTCCCATCACAGTGCGATCCCCAGTGTAGACAACAATACCACGTGCGGTGCCTTTAAAAGAAGGGGAGGGAGAACTGTACCTAATTTTATCTAACCTGAACGAAGCCACAGATTTTACACAATTACATAGCATGGCTTGAAAAAAAAAAAAGAGTTGACCTGACAACAGCACACTTTTTAAGGGCCAGCTCTTTGGTTGTATATGCTGTTTGTCAAAGGGCCTTCAACTCAGTAACAGGACAGCAGCTCCAACACCCATGCCAGGCTGGTGGTGTTGAGAGAAGAGGCAGGGTGGAGGTGCAGGGAAGGGAAATAGCCACAAGGTTTCCTGCCAGCATGGAAGACACCTCTGCTCTGTGCTTGACACAAGTTGTGAGAAATGGAGCCAACAAAACATGAGATTGTGCCTATGGTTTGTTTCTGTTAATGCCCAAGAGAAATACCACACCATGCTCAAAGTGCCAAAAAATGGCCTACCTTCAACACAGTTGGTTGAAAAGAAGGCAATGTTCCTGGTCTCCAGGGGGTTTTCATTTGTGAAATCTGGAGACCTAGTCTGGGGTTCTGATTCACCAGTGAGTGAGGAGTTATCCACCTGTATGTGAGGAAAAAAGGAAAATGTCATGTGACTATACCAGCCTCATCATGGGCTACTGTTCCCCCTCAACTCGCACTGCCCAAACAGCAGAGCTAGCTATGAGGTTTGTTAAAATAAAAGATCTACCTTGCAGCCATTTGCAGATATGATTCTGAGGTCAGCAGGAATTCGGTCTCCCCCTTTTACTTCTACCAGATCCCCAACCACAACATCCTCGGCATTTATGCTCATTTTCTCACCATTTCGAATCACAAGGGCTTGCTTTGGAAAGGAAACCATTTATACCGTTAGTATACCAGCAAAGAGAGAGTAGTGTCCAAAACAAGAAAATCAAATTAAAAATGGTCTACAATCCTAATTATCTGAATATATGACAAAGATATTATTCACTTTTTTATTTATGCATGTTACAAAAAGCTTGCTTTCCAGTTTAAGAGAGATTGCTGTTACATGGTGTGCCTTCATTCAGAGTTTACCTTCAAAAGAAAGGCTGCCACTTTTTGGGGGTAGAAGGAAAATAGGTGGTTCTGGGTGGGCTAGAAGACATCCATCTCTCTGATGGAGTCATGTAATACTTGGAATGCCTTAACTACCCACTAAGTCACAGGCTGACAAGCTTGGAGAAGGACAAAGTATCTGGTACCTGAGGGACCATGTTTTTGAAGGATTCCATGATCTTTGAACTTTTAGCTTCCTGATAGTAGGAGAAGCAACCAGTTATAATGACAACGGCGGATAGCACCACACCCAGGTACAGCTGGAAAGGAAAAGACAAATTAAGGCCGATGGCTCTACGCAAGAATTAGGGACATTCAATTAATTTTTTGACTGAATAAAAAACAGATTTTTCAATAGAGAAATCAAGGTTTCATAAATATAGAACTCATGTTTTCCTATTTATCCTTCCAGAGACCACACAGGAAGGGTCAGAAATGGAGTCAGCCACACCAACACTTGATCACTAACTGGACGTTTGGATATGTTCTAGATGCATCTATGAAACAAAATGTTTTTCAACCAACTTGTGGATTTTGAAGAATGGCCACCAAGCATTTCTGGACAGGTGACTGTGCCAACATTAAAAGCTGTGCTGTGCCATCCAGTGGGTGGTGGCGGGCGCCTGACAGGGCTGCCTGCTCACAGCAGCACACACAGGTGGGCTTCCCACTTGTAAGAGCATCTACAGGTGGGTGGTAGAGAGAGGAACCGGAAACGAAGAATGGATGGGTCTTGAAGGCAACAGCTGCTGACACTATTCTCCAGTGTTCATAGCTAAAAAGTAATGCGTGGTAATTGAGAATAAGTGGGAGACAAAGACAGAGAAGATACCTGATGTGTACTACAAATCCACATGCTGAATTATGCAACTCACATTATCGTTTTGAGGTTCCTCTTCTGTAGCAGCTTGGATGCTATAAGCCAAGAAACAAAGAATCGCTCCAATCCACAGTAACATTGAGAACCCCCCAAAGAGCTGCCGACAAAATTTGATCCATTCAGGAGTAGTGGGAGGGGGAGTGAGGGCATTGGGACCATCTCGCGCCAGGATCTCAGCTGCTCGAGCAGATGTTAAGCCCTGAGAAGCAGAAGAGTATAAATAAATAAGGCAAACCGTACGAGCATTTACAAGCCAATATACTTATCTGATAGCTGGACAGCTGCAACAAGGATTTAAGGAAGAAACAAAATGTCCCAAGCTGGGGAGCCAAGGTAAAACCTAGCAAATTCCTCCATGAATAGTTCTGCTAATGAGCCAGCCCCACCAGGGTTCAGGCAAACAATTGCCCACGTTTCCCAAGGAAACCGTAACACTCAGACTCTTCAAATTGACCCATCAATACATTTGAATCCAGCCTGGTTTCTTCTAAGTTTTAGATCAATGGATTCAGGCCAAATTGCATTTCTACCAAAAAGATATCTATTTTCACAAAACCATTCAGTTTTGCAAATAAAGAGCTTTGAGTTTTCTGTGTATTGATTCTGTCCTGAGGGGGGAAAAAAACCCTTCTCCAAACATCAAAGGAGAGGGAACTTCCTGTAGAAATCCATTGGGTTAACAGCCAAGTTTTAAATATACAGCTTGATTCTTGGCTTGCCTGGCAGGGAAGTGCTCACCTCCATGTGCATTTTAGCCAACTCCCAGTAAACCTGGGGACTGAAAGGTGTTCACCAGAAAAACCCACTCTACTAAAGCCTGCTGTTTTTCTAATGGGCCTTAACCCCAAGATTCACTGACAGCAGACAATTAGATATAGGCTCTCATTAAGAGAGGAAAATTATGATCACTTTTATACTATCAAAACACCAAGCTAAACAAAAGAAAATAATTTTGTCTAAAGTATCTGTTTATCTGTATTTTGTGCTCATGTTACCAAACATTTGAGTGCTAATCTACATGCCAGGCACTGAATTCAGTGCTTTAATTAACTTGTTCAATTCTCATGACAATCCTTTTTAGGCATTATTAACCTCATTTTACAAGTAAGGAAACAGACCCACAGCATTTGAGTAACGGGCACAGGTCAGCGAGAGCACACTTTGTAAGACTCTAATAAAAACTTAAGTGAGATGATATATGTGAAGTGGCTGGAGACTGCCAGGCACACAGTGAGCACGGAGTCACTGCTGGCATGTTGTTCTGAGTCAAGTCGAGGCCTCCTCTTGGAGCTTAAAGTACCTGTTCAAGAAAAACACTCTCAAACCACATTCTTCTCTATTCTCTTTTTTTGAGACGGAGTTTAGCTCTTGTTGCCCAGGCTGGAGTGCAATGGAGTGCAATCTCAGCTCACTGCAACCTCCGCCTCCTGGGTTCAAGCAATTCTGCCTCAGCATCCTGAGTAGCTGGGATTACAGGCATGCACCACCACGCCCAGCTAATTTTGTATTTTTAGTAGAGACATGGTTTCGCCATGTTGGTCAGGTGGTCTCGAACTCCTGACCTCAGGTGATCCACCGCACCCACCGGGCCTCTTCTCTACTTTTACATCACAACAAACAACACAGAATATGACTTCTGTGACCAAAGGCGTGGTGGTTTCTCCCCATCACCAAGGTTTCCTCCAATTCAATTCCAACACTATCTACCTGGAAAATCAGAAAGGTGGAACAAGATTAGAGTCCTGCCTTGGGGCAGGTGAAAGGAGGACAGGGGAGAGAGATTCTGTTTCCTGAAGCCTGTGCTGAAGTCTAACACACCCATCACTATAACAACAGGCTGTAATAAGGGCTATGGGAGTTATGAACCAGGAACTGTGGACAAAAACCAATATATATCAGAACACCACAGTACTCATGGCTCCTGATGCCTTACTGAAAAAAATGCTACATATTTGCTTGTTATTCAAGCTATTCCCAGACTTTCCAGTGATTATCTGGAAAGAAGAAACCCCTAGACTATTTATTTTTCTAACATTTGTTGCACATTTAATATCAAAATCCTCTGGATAATAAGATACACAATGGCTATTTTATGAAAAGCTTTCTTTAAATTTTGTACAAAACAATTTCCAAATAGATGATAGACTAACTAAACAAATGATAGTATAATCATAGCAGGCTGCAATGGGCTAGCTGGGAAAAGTGCAAAAATGTGAACTGTTGAAGATTCAACTAGGTGAAATATTCAACTCAATTTAACACATGTAGAAAAATAAAGGGAAAATTTATCATCCAAAAGGTCAAGGCATAAGCATAGCTTTGAAGCCAACTGCAAGTCCTGGGCTCCCACTTATTGGCTCTCAACTACTATAAAACAGGGAAAATAACATCAGGGATTTTTTTTTTTTAACATCTGGGACGTTTTCAGGGAAAATAACATCAGGAGGATATAAAAGGCGAAGCTCTGTGCATGCCACACAGTAGATACACAGATGGTGGCTGTCATTTTCTTACTAGTGCCTATGAGGTTAGACCTGTATGTAATACGGGAAAAAATGTAATAAGGAAAACCAGGATTCTGTATAACAGCTTTCAAACGAGAACATACCCGGCTCAAGTCTGTTCCATATTTACGATGAAGTTCATCAAGGCTAAGTTTATGATCATCCTAAGGGAGAACGGAAACAAAGAAAATAGTTACACACTATAGTATGAAAAATGACCAAAAAAAAACCCCAGCATTACTCATTATCATCATGAAACTTAATAAACGAAGCGCAGGTGTTTTCTTCAGTGCAGACGTTGGTACACCTTTCACCGTCACTTCGTGGCTTCGCCAGCACACAGCTATCGTGACAGCTAGCTCTTCACTGGAGAATGGCTAGAGCTGAGTGACAGTGGCCCGTCACCACTTGCCACAACACTTCAGAGAAGCCCAGCAGCTCTCAGGGATCTAGTAAAACCTTATCTGCCCTCTCTGATGACCAGGTCAATTCCAGGCAGGCTAAGTCTTGGAAGCTTCCATAGCCTGGAGAGACTGAATTTCCCAATGTTTGATATAATCCAGAGGAAAGCAAAGACTCATGATATCAACCTCAGTTCCTTCCATTGATTTTTGGTTATGCCAGAGTGACTAACTTTTCCAACGCTCTAACAGCTTTTAAAGAAGAAAATGTTCAACATTAACCTCTACAACTAGATGAGATCTGTACAACTGCTATGATCTCTTTTAATATAAAGCAATTATCTGGCTGAAGAATTCAGTGAGGCCTGGGGGTAGTGTATGATCCAAGATATAGGATACAGTGAATTTTTAATGAGGATGGAATACAGCATTCCTCCTAGTACTTACCATAGAAACTTCTTTCTTCAGTTCATCCATGTCCCTTTCTTTTTTGACCTTTTTGCCCTTTTTATCACCTTGTTCCGAAACAGCTGCAGGTTCATATTTATCACGTCCAACCTGTAGGACAATGTGGGAAAAGTGAGGCTGTGAATTATGTACCTCATCTGAAACTGAAAATTCTGGAGTAGGGGATTTTGGTAGTTTTTAGGGTAGCCATAATTTGGAATAGTCATTATGATACTAGTCATGAAAACGTATGCCCTTATATTGCATCCTACATATGCAAAGCAACCTACTAATAATACATTATCTCAAGACACATCCTCTCCAACCAAGAGCGTTACGACCAGTAGGAAAGTCTTAATGCTTCTGATGCTAGTGGTAGGCTTCAGAATGGCCCTGCCAGTGCCACTTCCATTTGGGGTTAATGAGGAGATTTTTGCTATCAAAATCCCTATTTTGCAGCCTTCCAACTTCCCTACTGAAAGAATAAAACTAACTTTACCTTATTAACTTAGAGTGCAATATTGTGCTTATGAGTCTGTATTCGTAATCAGACAGGCTTGAGCTAAAATCCTGGGCTTCACCACTTACCAGCAATGTATCCTTAGGCAAGTTACTGACTCCTACATTTCAATTTCCTCTTCCATAGCATGGAGATAAAGAAGAGTGCCAACCTTTTTGTATTTTTAAGAATTAAATGATATAATACATCTAAATGCTAGTTACTTTGATATTGTTTATGTTCTTTGCTTTGCAAAGACATTATTACATATCAAATTTAAGTATCTTTAGTGCTCACGTAAGAGCACAGACCTTTTCCAGCTTCTCGTATTAAAAAGTCACCCTGAGACTCCTTAAAATTCTTTCCATGAGATAAAAAAGGGAGCCCCCACCCCATTCTGTAGCCTGAAAATAAAACCTCCAAAATGAAAGTCTCTGGAAATGTTTTGACATAAGCAGGATGTAGGAAAAGCATGTGCATTACCACATAATTCACAGGATCCACCTACGCCTCTTGAAAACTGGAACAATTTTTAAAGAAAATGTTGATTCTATAGTTTAAATTTAGATTGTTCCACTCCCCCACTCCTGTTGAAAATCTCTGAGCTTTTCTACACAAAGCCTGAACTTGGTGCTCCAAAGCTTAGTGGAGCAGAAAAGCCCCTTGTTCCAGACACCTCCCCCCAGGCAGCCTCCCACAAGGACAACTGAAGGCCAAAAAGTAGACATTAACAATTTTCTTTTTTTTCTTTTTTTTTTTTTTTTTTTTTGAGACGGATTTTCGCTTTTGTTGCCCAGGCTGGAGTGCAATGGCGCGATCTCGGCTCACCGCAATCTCCGCCTCCTGGGTTCAGGCAATTCTCCTGCCTCAGCTTCCTGAGTAGCTGGGATTACAGGCACGTGCCACCATGCCCAGCTAATTTTTTGTATTTTTAGTAGAGACGGGGTTTCACCATGTTGACCAGGATGGTCTCGATCTCTTGACCTCGTGATCCACCCGCCTCGGCCTCCCAAAGTGCTGGGATTACACGCTTGAGCCACCGCGCCCGGCAACATTAACAATGTTCTTAAAATGCATGACATGTGGTGCTATTCCCATTATTTTGTGGCTCTCCCTTACTCATTTCTAACTTTCCAAAGTGCATTACCAGCTACCAAAGCAATAATTAGGAACTCATGTGTCCATATTATAATTTTATT